CGTATGAAAATGGTCAAAGGCTCAATGTCATGGGTAGGATGATATTCAGAAACTCAATGTTTAGGGTTTGTATCTCATTACAAAAATATTTATTCCTTAAAAAAATACACAAATGTAAAATACTACGTTTTCTATTATATCCCCTCTTACTTTCAAAGTATGCCTTTTGGATGTTGGACTAAATCAAAAGGTAGAACACCTTTTATTTCTCTAGCAACTCTGTATGCTGTCTTTCTGCTCCCATTAATTTGGTGCATCTCTATAATTTTAATCAGTAGTGAACTTAGGCAGAATGGCAGGAGACTAATGTATTAGCTGTCAGGGAAGTCCCACCTAATACTTACTCATGAATACCGCTCCTGTGGTAGCAATGCTGACTCGGGACCTGATCCGACCAGGCACTAAGCACCATTTTGTTTTGTGTTTTTCTCAGCAGAAGTAGCAATGCTCAGAGTTAGCCTCTGGGATTACAGTGCCCTGGGCAAACTCAGCAGTGCATGAAATTGGAACAGGTACACAAATAACACCCAGACTACACCCTGTGTTAATCATTCATGCCCTGATCTTGCAGACACCTACACACGCTCCTCCTGTGAGTAGTCCTGTTAACCAAAATAGGTCTACACACAGCAGAACTAGGCGTATGTGGTTTTGTTTGCAGGGCTGAGGTCTTCTATTGCACTGGTAGAGGTACGCTTCAAGGAGAAGGGCTCGTGCACGCTTCTCTTGCTGGGGATTAAAAGATAATGTTGTGTTTATACAGCTTTGGAATACAGCCTGCACTTTTTTGAAAAAAACCAAGGAAAAGAAAGATACAAAAAGAAGAAAGAAAGCCAAGAGTGCTAAGGCAAACTGTCAAATGGCACATCATACCTACTTTGTCATTCATTTAGATAACATCACAAAGGCAGACCAGAGGAGTTCTGTAAACATATACCATACAGTACATCAGCCACGGGAAATTAAAAAAAGAAAACAACCCTGTAATTCTTTTCTTTCTGTATTGATATTCTTGTAATTGAAAGAGATTGCCTAGCCACTAATCATAATGCTGTGGTTTTTGATTTGTATTTTTCTTCTGTTAAAAAAAAAGAGCAAGTATGGAAGTAAAATGCAGTGGTTTGCAAAAGAAACAGTCCCTGAATGCAAATGAGGGACGACATGGAAAGTGGGTTCATAGAAACTTAGAAAATACAAAATATAAAAAAGTTTCATAGGTTACTTTTTCCCAGTCTAGGAAAAGATACACTGAAAAGAGGTTTGCTTTTTGTTTTTCTTACAAAAGTTAAGGCGAGCAGTTTGTTGTGGCAAAATGCTATCACTGAACCAGTTTCTGACTCTACTTTTTTGTATCCCCTCACGCTGAAATTGAAAATGTACGTGTGATGACGTAAGTTAAACAGACAGGCAGTTTGCTTAAAACAATAAAAAAAAAACCCCTCCCGTAATGATCCTTAACAAAATCCTCTCTCTGCTTGACCGCGCAGTGGACCTCTTCCTTCGCGCCTGATTGTGCATGAATTTCCTCCGGCAGCTTTTTGTCTGAGGGCGAGGGGAACGCCAACCCCTTCGAAGCCCCAAGCAAGCCTGGAAAACCTGGTTTACATTCATCAGCCTCAGCTAACGTGTTTGAATTCCCGTGTCGCTTGGCTGCGGGCTCGTGGCTAGAAGGGACAGGGCAATGCCTGGGCACGGCTGCTGCCCATGCGGAGGAGGGTGATTGGAGTAAATGTGTTTCAGCCAATGTAGTGAAGGCCCTCTGAGCTTGGATTGATTTGCTCCTGTTTTTGCGTTTTTCCTGACCTCAGACGTGGAACTGCCTTCGACCCGTAAAGATAAACCCTACGCAGACCAACCTTTAGATTTTCTGGATCTTTTGGGGACTGTTAACCATGGACTTCATATGAACACATAAAAACCAGTGGCCTTCTTAGGCACTCAATGTTAGCTACAAGTACTGAGCAGTAGGTATTTGGCAGGTTTAAGGTTTAAGGCTTGTGCTCTACTTCTAACCACTAAAGGGCCACTTCTGGACTCGCGCGCCACTGTCTCCCCGCCACGTTGTGCCTTTGACGGTCCAGCGGTCTCAGATGCGTTCTGGTCCCAGCCTCAGCAAGCATCTCCCAAAGCTGGCCGCCAAGGGAGTCATCCCCAAAATGCTGAGTCTGGTGATGAACCAGAAGGTCCTCTGGCAGGGGAGCACGTGGCTGAAGAGATGCATGGACAGAGTGGTTTAGGGTAAAGACGACACCTCAAATTTCCCAAGCAGAGGGCTTTGGGAAAAAATGTCCACAGGGTAGAGGAGCGGCAAGGGAATAAATGTTGGGCTGGGAAGACACTAGGAGGCCAGGGTGGCATCGCACCCAGAGAGGAAAAGGTGGTGAGCAACGAGACGACCGGCCAGGCCAGGAGGAGATGGCTGGAAGATTTATTTTCGAGTGTTACTGGTGAGGTGAACAGGCCCCAGAGTGAGAGAACTACTGCAAAGCGCGCCTGGTTCCCGCCGTGCTCACGGGGTAGGGGCTTCACCCACTGTGTGGCAATGCTTTGGGGTCCCAAATGTGTCTGGGGACAGTCTCGCCAGGCTGCCCTGGGCTTGAAAACTCAGTGTCTCTTTCTGAGAAATGTTAAGATTTGTAAATGCTTAGCGTTTCTGGGAAAAAAAGAAAAAAAAAACCCACACAACCCAACCAAAAAAACCCCAGAACACAGGTTGCTAGTTTCGAACAAACAGCCACCAGACCTACTGTCACAAGGTGGGGCTCCGTGGCCGTTCCCCTCTTCGATAAAACTTAACCACCTGTGCCTGAGTCAAGGGATGATGGGCAGAGCTTCTGTGGGTGAGTTTGGTCCTTCTCCCATCCAAAAGCCCACTGGGGAGGTGGAGGGAGCATGTGGAAGTCTATTAATTCCGGCCACTGTAGCAGATATGGAGGCCAGGAAAATTTCTGCAGGTGTCATACAGATGTGGCTGTCTTTTCTCACTCTCCGCTTTCTTTTTGTTTTGCCTGACTGTCACCTGAGCAGTGGTGAGAAGTTACATTGACCAGCTCCATACTGACGGCTGGGTGACCTAACGCAGGAACTACCTTTTGCGGTTTTTTTGTGTGTATGTTTTCGGTGTGCCTCATATTATCACCACTGTGAACAAGTGTCTTTTTTACTGGCACAGAAAGAAAAGAGTACAGAGCAAGAACTCTGTTTAATTAGATGCTCTGAACTAACAATTAATGCAGTAAAAGCACCATCCAAGAAAGAACAGAAATATCATAGGAACCACCTCAGACTGAAAAGAGGCTTTTTGTTGTTTTCTTTCCTTCTTTTTTTTCTTTTTTTTTAAAGTTTTTAACTTTGTTTTTCAGTTGCTGTTATTGATTTCTAAAGTCTGATAGTTTCAAAGACACTTCAAAATAATCTTCGGTACTTTTTAACGCTATCAGAAAATATAAATCCTGATTTTCAATCTCACTTCTGTAGTTATAAATCCAGACTAACTCCACAAGAGTGAGTGAAGCTACACTTGAGCAAAATCAGTGTGAGACAAGAATCAGGCTCATAACATCTCGCCATGAAAAAGCTGGCTGCTTTTTCATTGTAGGTAGAGGAATCAAAGGACCAAGAAACAAATCTACCGATTTTGGATGCCTTCATCTGTTTACACTTTCGCTGTGAGTTGTTTTTAACAAGCCTGATTTTCAGAGGGCAGATGAAGAAAAAATTTACTGGAAATCAGGCCTCTTGGAAGTGTCCCACACTGTAGAATGAAGCATCCAACACCACCAGCAGTTTTTGAAAATGTTAGCCTTGAGGCTGTAGGATCTTCTCCCGAAACAGCTGCTCCGAGAAAACTCTGGTGGGCCTCCATGGGAGTTTCACCTGGGTAAGCAGGGCAGGATCAGACCCATCACCTGTCCTTACATAGGTGCACTGGAGGTACACTCGATGAGAAATCACCCTTCCCTAAGAATTACAAAATGAAACTCTGGGCCTGCCCCCATTCCCAGCATTGAGAATTTCGTCACTGAATCCAGAGGGAGCAGGGTCAGACTGTGAGAGAAGTTCATTCA